TCATGTTTGGTAATGTGGAGGGTCAGAGAAAAAGAGGAAGAACCCCAATGAGATGGATTGACCAAGTGGCAGCATCGATGGACTCAAGCGTGGCAACAGTAGGGAGGTTGACCCAGGGTCGGGCAGTGTTTCGTTCTGCCGTGCACAAGGTCATTGTGGGTAGGTACGGATTCGATAGCACCTAATAACAGCAACAACTACACCCTCAGATTTGTTAATCCACAAGTATATTCCCCCAAATCAGAAAAGTGTTGCACTTCCTGAGTTAATCATAATCAACCTCAGAACTAGTTTCTAAAATGTGATGCTGGATCATATTCCCACGTTCCCAGTTAGTCCTCCAGACACAGCTGTCCACAGGGCACTTGCTCCCTCAGACCCTAACCACCCAGACTTGGGTCTCCACAAGGTAAACTTCTGTCCTTCCAAAAATAGAAGCCAACCAGGCCTGTTGCTGTCTTCTGATTCTAAACTCATAGCGACCCTATAAGCTAGACTAGAAGTGCCCTGTAGACTTTCGTTACAGAAGCCGACCACCAGATCTTTCACCTGTGGAGTGGTTGGTGGGTTCCAACTGCTGACTTTTTGTTTATCAGCCAAACCCTCAACCCCTGTGCACAAGAACTCCAATCAGTCCTTCCAACCCTTGTCCAACCCCAACCTGTCTGCTGGTGCTCAGGGCCCCCTTGTGGGACTGATGGTTCTCTGTCTTGGCTCACAGAATTCTCTCCTAGGCTAGCAGGGCACAGTAGGGGCAATGTTTCAGTCATAGGATCGCTGTGAGCCGGAGTCAGCTCAGTGGCACCTAACAACAACAACAATTACTATATGTACAGTTACCCATTGATGACAACCAGAAAGGACACAAGTGTAGAGCCGCATCAGGTGAGGTCTGAGGGACCCGTTGTTCACAGGGACCCTCTCCTGTGTTTGGGTTTTCTCACCATTCCAGGAAGCCCCAAATGGCCCAGAGTCCCCTAGTCATTGGGAACCAATGAATATGTGCAATCAATAAACATGCCCCTCTGTCCAGAGGACAGCTGTGACCACAGGGCTCAGGAAGCCCCTTACTCATTTGCACAAATGTTTTATTTCATAAAACAAACACACCGCCCTCAAGTTGATTGTGACTCGTAGCGACCATATACAGGGTTTCCAAGATTGTCAGTCTTTATAGGAGCGGACAACTTTGTCTTTCTCCTGCAGGGCAGCTGGTGGGTTTGAATTGCTGACCTTGTGGTTAGCAGCCCAATGCTTACCCTGCATGCCACCAGGCTTCCTTTTATAAAACAAGGGCCCCTTGAGAACTAGAAAACTCTAAGAGCTATTTCAGAAACCAGAGACGAAAGACCTAACCAGTCCTTTGTCCCACACTTATGCTTGCAGTTTTATTATAAAGGATTCACATCAGAAGCATCATAAAGAAGAGACACAGGGCAATGTCCCCAAGGTGGCGCTTCTGTGTCACCAAGAACCCACCATCCTCCTGTGAATTAATGCAATCCTCAATCAGGAAACCCACCCAGGCTTCAGTGTCCAGGATTC